ATCCATGAGCATGTAATAGATTTCCATCTGTTTACATCCTCTGCTATTTCCTAGGTACTTTAATTTCTTTGTTGCTATTGTGAAGGGAATTGAGTCTTAATTGGTTCTCAATTTGAGTTGTTGGGCGTATAAATGCTCTCACACTGAGCTATACCCCTGTTGGCGTATATGAATGCTCTGATTCTGTGATTGATTTGTATCCTGAGACTTATTAAATTCATTTATCAGTTCCAGAGTTTCTTGGTGAATCTTTGGGTTTCTAAATATAATATCATATCATCAGCAAACGGTGAAAGTTTGATCTCTTCTGCCCCTATTTGGATACCTTTAATTCCACTTTCCTGTCTGATTGCTGTAGCCAGGACTTCCAGCACTATGTTGAGTAGAAGTGGAGATAGTAGGCAGCCTTGTCTACTCCAAGGCTTTTAAATATCTTTCTCTTTATGTTCTTCCCTACATACTCAACTTTTCTTTTTTGCAGGAATTTTGGGTTTTTGTTTGTTTTTTTGAGACAGAGTCTCATTCTGTTGCCTGCGCTAGAGTGCTGTGGCGTCAGCCTAGCTCACAGCAACCTCAAACTCCCAGGCTCAAGTGATCCTCCTGCCTCAGCCTCCCAAATAGCTGGGACTACAGGCATGTGCACCATGCCTGGCTTATTTTTTCTATTATTTTTAGTTGTTCAGCTAATTTTTTCTATTTTTAATAGAGATGGGGTCTTGCTCTTGTTCAGGCTGGTGTTGAACTCCTGACCTCTAGCAATCCTCCCGCCTCGGCCTCCCAGAGTGCTAGGATTACAGGTGTGAGCCACCATGCCTGGCCCGCTTCCAGGAATTTTCTCCCTCCAAATATACCCAAGAACTAGCCTACTTTAAAAGAAAAAAAGTCATCAACTCAGAAGTCCACATGTATTGCTTTTTCATCTCATCTCTAACTCCACTTCACCTTTCATTTATTCACCTTAATCCAGACCTTGACCCCAGCAGCCCCCTGAAACTAGTCTTGCTAAGTCATTAATGAATCCTTAGCTGCTGGATCCAGTCATTTCCCTAGTCCTTACCTTCCTTGTTTTCTCTGACATTTAACATTTTGATCATTCTCTTTCCCTTGAAACCCTTTTTTTCCCTATCTTTTCTTCTTCTTCTTCTTTTTTTTTTTTTGAGACTGAGTCTTGCACTGTCACCCCAGCTAGAGTGCAGTAGCATCATCATAGCTCACTATAACCTCGAATCCCTGGGCTCAATCTATCCTCCTGCCTCAGCCTCCCAGAGTGCTAGGATTAGATTATAGGCATGAGCCACCGCACCCAACCTTGAGACCTTTTTTTGCTTGGCTTCTATGACATCATTCTTCTTTGCTCCTCTTCCTGTAAGAGTTATTATTTTATTGAACACCTACTATGTATTCACTATATTAAAATGCTTTACACAGATTATTCCTAATCATTGCAATAACCCTAAAAATATAGATTTTATTTCCTTCATGTTATAAATAAGGAAATTGAGGCTTAGTGAGTTTAAGCAATTTTTCTTTTTTTTTTTTTTTCTTTTCTCAGATACTCTCAGAAATAAGCAATTTTTCTAAAGTTATATAATAAGTGGCAGAGCTGGGACTTGAACCTGATCTTTATTTAGTATACAAGTAAAGTCAGCTATTATCTGGGTAGCAAAGGCTCCTGCCACAGACTTTCTTTTTAGCTTTCAGACTATATGACCTACTGTCTCCTAAACATTTCCACCTGGAAGTCCTAGCAGCACCTCAGCCCAACTCATCATCTCACCCCCACCCCCATCCAGCCCCAGATTGGTAGTGTGACCCTCTGTCTATTCATCTAGGCCCTAATCTTGGGGGTTGACCTTAGCTTTGCCTCTTTTCCACCCCCTCCACTGCTCAGCACCTAGTTGTCACCAAGCTGGTCATTCCTTTCCCCTTGAGTTCTCTGAATTTCATCTCACAGTGTCCACTGTCACTTCCCTTGTTCAGGATCTTTTCTACTCTCTTCCTGGACTATTGTCCCTCTTCCCTTAATTTCTGTCTCTTCTACTCTCTAACCTTGCAGTACATCCTCTACAAGGCTACCAGACTGATCTCTCCTAAACCCCAAACCTGATTTTGTTGCTGTCTTGGTTAAAACCTGTTAGTGGCTCTCAGTGTCCTATTCCTCTACTCCATAGCATAACTAGCGAGGTATTACTTTATTTTTCTATACTTTTCTCCTTCCAGTTTCTCACATACAGCAGATGTTTCTGGTTCACTGTACCAGGACTTTTATTCATCTCTCCATGCAGTTCCTATGCTATTCTCCTTTTTTGGAATGCCCTTCTCTTCCTGGTTTGCCTGAGGAACACCTTTTCAGCTCATCCCTAAAAAATAAACAAGCAGAAAACATCCTGAATTCCTAGCTTCTAGCCCTTCTCTGATTTCCGCTCTGAGAGAGGTTTCCTGTTCCCAAAGCACCCTGTGCACATATCCGTTGTAGAACTCAGCACAGTGTATAATAATTTGTACACACCAGCTTCCATACAAGTAGTGCTCCTTAAATGCAGAGATTTGTGTCTTGTTCACTTTTTTTATCCATGGGATCTAGCATATTGCTTGGGAGGTAGCAGTTTAGTAACTATTGAATATTGTAATAGCAATAGTATGGTTGGAGCTAGGGAGTGATACTTTGGAGAAAATTTAGGATTTTTTTTTTTTTTTTGAGACAGAGTCTTGCTTTGTTGCCCAGGCTAGAGTGAGTGCCATGGTGTCAGCCCAACTCACAGCTACCTCAAACTCCTGGGCTTAAGCAATCCTCCTGCCTCAGCCTCCCAAGTAGCTGGGACTACAGGCATGCGCCACCATGCCCGGCTAATTTTTTGTATATATATTTTTAGTTGGTCAATTAATTTCTTTCTATTTTTAGTAGAGGCAGGCTCTTGCTCAGGCTGATTTCGAACTCCTGACCTCGAGCAATCCGCCTGCCTCGGCCTCCCAGAGTGCTAGCATTACAGGCGTGTGAGCCACCGCGCCTGGCCTGGAGAAAGGTTAGGGTTAAACATTTATGCACATGAGGATGTTGGTTAAAGCTCGAGAGTAGGCATGGAGGCTCACGCCTATAATCCCAGCACTTTGGGAGGCCAAGGTGGAAGGATCACTTAAGGCCGGAAGTTCAAGTCCAGCGTGGGCAACAATGTACTGTGCAAGAAATAATAATTAGCCAGCATGGCCATGCAAACCTGTAGTCCCAGCTACTCAGGATGCTGAGGCAGGAGGGTTAAGTGAACTCAGGAGTTTGAGGCTACAGTGAGATATCATACCACTGCACTCTAGTAGCTTAGGCAAAAGGTAGAGAACCCTGTCTTAAAATAAATAAATAATGGGAAAAAAGCTAAAGTAGATAATGCTAGTACCTTGATATGTATTGCACAAATGATTTACAAAGTATTTTCACAAATTTTTTTTTTTTTTTTTTTTGAGACAGAGTCTCGCTTTGTCGCCCAGGCTAGAGTGAGTGCCATGGTGTCAGCCCAACTCACAGCTACCTCAAACTCCTGGGCTTAAGCAATCCTCCTGCCTCAGCCTCCCAAGTAGCTGGGACTACAGGCATGCGCCACCATCCCCGGCTAATTTTTCTATATATATTAGTTGGCCAATTAATTTTTTTCTGTTTATAGTAGAGACGGGGTCTCGCTTTTGCTCAGGCTGGTTTCAAACTCCTGACCTGGAGCAATCCACCCTCCTCGGCTTCCCAGAGTGCTAGGATTACAGGCGTGAGCCACCGCGCCCAGCCTTTCATAAATGTTTTATCTCACTTTCTCCCATCCAAAAACACTGTGAAGAGAGGCAGAGTAGACATTAATATTTGCATTTTGGAAATCAAGAACTTGAAGCTCAAAGAAGTGATTTGCTCAAAGTCTCAAACAATAACATAATTCAACATAAGAACTACGTTGAAGTGCCAGAATTCAGTCTTCTGCTGCCAAATCTGATGCTACTTCCACTGGGACTGCATCAGTATAGATATGGGGAAGGTTTGGAATAGACAAGTTTTGGAGTACATCTACATTTAGAGGTCAAGGGAAAGGAGTGTCTCAAAGGAGGAGATAAATAGTGGCCCAGGCCAGGTGTGGTGGCTCACACCTGTAATCCTAGCACTCTGAGAGGCCAACGCAGACAGATTGCTCGAGGTCAGGAGTTCAAAACCAGCCTGAGCAAGAGCAAGACCCCCAAGTCATGACTGTGTTGTGAAGAACATGTCTTCAGAAGGGGAGGGTATCATCAGAGATACCTTTGCACACAGTCAAGGAAAGTAGGGAAGGATGAAAGAGTTTGAACATCAGGAAGTTCAAGAGAATAATTTTATATAGTGAAGCCACCTTGCCAGGTGGTTAAGAAAAACATGGGCATTGAGGGAAATGGAGGTACGTATGTCGACTACTCTTTCAGGAAGTTTGGTAGTGAAAGGAAACATAAAGGCTGATAGTTTGAGAAATGTCATACCACCAAATATTGCCAGAAATTTACAGTACATTGTTGTCATTTTGAAGACTTGAAACTATCTAGTGGAAACTATCTATGGAAATACTGTTTGATGATTAAGTATATAAATTTCAGGATGTTTTAGACTCAGTTTAACATAGGTTATTTCTTACATGTTTATAGTACCAGAGGGCAAAGTTTTTAATCATACCTTAAAACAAAGTGAAGATTTTATTTGAATACAGTTAACTGTAACAATGTATGTCCACCTTTAACCTGAAAATACCGTTAAATTCATTTTGAATATTCATCTACATACAAGCTTATCTCTTCCTCCTCACTGATTGTGTGTTGTCCATGTGTGACTTGATCAACAGGAAATTTCCCCACTTTGCTGTTAGAGATTGTTTTCTGTGTTTAGGGTGAAAACCCATGTGTATTATCCACATCGCCTGGGAACTAAGCTCTGGGGGGGTGGAGGTGGGGAGTTAAGCCTTGAGCAGCTCTTTTGTCTTACTGATGAGGTGTCCTCTGTCTGCCAGGTGAAGCGGTACCAGTGCACCTTTGAGGGCTGTCCCCGCACCTACAGCACAGCAGGCAACCTGCGTACCCACCAGAAGACTCACCGAGGAGAGTACACGTTTGTCTGTAATCAGGAGGGCTGTGGCAAGGCCTTCCTTACCTCTTACAGCCTCAGGATCCATGTGCGAGTGCACACGAAGGAGAAGCCATTTGAGTGCGACGTGCAGGGCTGTGAGAAGGCGTTCAACACACTGTACAGGTCGGCCTCTCCACTGCTCTGCCAGCCTTTGACTCTGACCTTGTTGTGACTGCAGAGCTCTTTTTCTTGCACAGGAGAGAGATTCACTTTCAGGACTTCAAAGAGCATAGCTGTGCTCAACTATTTAAATGCATTAAAGGAACTTGTTGCTTAAAGGTGGACTTCTCTTGGGTGGGTTAGAAGTGACAATACATCTGTGTTTAGATTTGCATCTCAGGGAGTGCATTCTGACCTGGGCATTTTAGTGGGGATTTGGCATAGAGTACTATCTCCCTTCAGCTCAGGATCTTCGTACTAAAGCTTTTGTAATTTCGTTTCCTACCTCACCTTGAAGATATTAGTCTTCAGTATTGGGTGTAAAATAACAGAAATAACAATAGCTAACATTTAAAAAGCACTCAGTGTGGGCAGGCACAATTCTAAGTGCTAATCCTCACAGTCACTGATAGCTAAATGGAAGCACAGAGAGACTCTGTAACTGGCTCAAGGTCCCCTATCCAAGTAGGATCTGCGGCCAGGTTTTGAATCCTAGTCAGTCCCCAGAATGACAGCCACCCCACTATGCTATCTACTTCTCTGAATTTCTTTGGGCAAAACATTTTGGATGCTAATAAGTTACAGATGTAGAATTCTTATGCACTTGATCCTGAAATACATTAGGCTGGCATGGGGAGGCTTATGGTACTTTTTGACAAAGAGGATTTTTCTGGGATATTTTGCAGGCTGAAAGCACATCAGAGGCTTCACACAGGGAAAACGTTTAACTGTGAATCTGAAGGCTGCAGCAAATACTTCACCACACTCAGTGATCTGAGGAAGCACATTCGAACCCATACAGGAGAAAAGCCATTTCGGTACATCTTTACGGTTTTCTATTTATTCCTGACTAGGTTTCAGCTGGGTGTCTTGATATACTCTGAAATTCTTCAAAGAAGAAAGAAAACTCCCTTCACTAGTTCTTTCTTTGGCAGTATTAGCTCGCCCCAGGGTAACCATAACAATTGCTGCAGTTAGAGGAGTGCTGATGGATTCCAGGAGCATCCTTACTCTGTGAATGATGGCCTTTCTGCCTTATTTTTCCCCTTTATTTTAAAGAAGCATTTGTTGAAACTCATGTATGTGGTAGGTACTTCTGTTAGTGCTAGAGAAATACTCAGAAGCAGGCTGCCATCTCGAGAACCTTAGTCTAGTGGGAAAGAACCACAAGTTAGTAGTATCTGAGTTTGTGAGATGCCCAAAGTGCCCTGAGCACAGAGTAGGGATACCTACCTAAGAATGAAGGTGGGAGGGGAAGAGGAGACAGAAGGGGAAATAGGGATGGGAATGCTTAAGTTAGTGGTGCAGGTATTTTATTTTGTTACTTGTTCAGTTGTTTTGTAATATCTCAAGTGCATATATACAAACAAAAAAAATCCTTTTTTTTCCCCTTTTATTTCATCATATTATGGAGGTACAAATATTGTTAGGGTTACAAATATTGCCCCTGCCCCCTCCTCCCTTCCCCTGATGTGTCCAATCCCCAGGTGGTATGCACCACATACGTTATATAAGCATACACCCCTTTCCTCCTACCCCCTCCCGCCTGCCCACCACCTGATAAAAAGGTTTTTTTTCTTTTTTGTTTGTTTCTTTTTGACATTTTGGATACATTGTATATCTTTGCCTCTCCCTAAGAAGGGTTAGAGTTATGCCCTTCCACTCCAAAATTGCTCACCACATCCCTAAGATTGGGTCCCCCCCCCCTCGAATCCCTGGTGAGAATTGCCACCATTGGAAAACCGTAGTTTTAATCAGTCAGTACCAATTTCATGGAGAATAGATGTGGGGCCCATTTTCCATGTCTTGTGTCGCCTCACTTTGGATAACGGGCTTAAGCTTAATCCAGGATAGCATAAACGGTGCTAGCTCACAGTCATTTCTTAGGATTGAGTAATATTCCATTGTGAACATATACCTCATTTTAATTATCCACTCATGAATTGACGGGCACTTGGGTTGTTTCCATGACTGTGCAATAGTGAATTGTGCTGCCATAAACATTCAGATGCAGATGTCTTTATAATAGAATGTCTTATGCTCTTTTGGGTAGATGCCCAACAATGCTATTGCTGGGTCGAATGGTATTTGTATTTCTAGCTGTTTGAGGTTGTTTTTTTGTTTTTTTGTGTTTTTTTTTTGAGACAGAGTTTCACTCTCTTGCCCAAGCTAGAGTGCCGTGGTGTCAGCCTAGCTCACAGCAACCTCAAACTCCGGGGCTCAAGCAATCCTTCTGCCTGACCCTCCCAAGTACCTGGGACTACAGTCATATGCCACCATGCCTGGCTAATTTTTTCTATATATTTTTAGTTGGCCAATTAATTTCTTTCTATTTTTAGTAGAGATGGGGGTCTCACTCTTACTCAGACTGGTTTCGAACTCTTGACCTGAGCGATCCTCTGGCCTCAGCCTCCCAGGGTGCTAGGATTACAGGCGTGAGCCACCGAGTCCAGCCAAAACATCCATTTTTATTTATATATGTTAACATGCATACATATGTATATAATATATATACTATAAGCTTGAAGGACAGACTTGTATCATCTACTTTCTTCTCTATTCATAGCATAGAACAGGCGTCCTCAAACTACGGCCTGAGGGCCACATGCGACCCACCTAGAACATTTATCTGGCCCACTGGGTGGTTTTTGTTTTTTTGAGACAGAGTCTTACTTGTTGCCCAGGCCAGAGAGAGTGCTGTGGCATCAGCCTAGCTCACAGCAACCTCAAACTCCGGGGCTCAAGCAATCCTGCTGCCTCAGCCTCCTGAGTAGCTGGAACTACAGGCATGTACCGCCATGCCCGGCTAATTTTTTCTCTATATATTAGTTGGCCAATTAATTTCTTTCTATTGATAGTAGAGATGTGATCTCGCTCAGGCTGTTTTTGAACTCCTGACCTCGAGCAATCCGCCTGCCTGGCCTCCTAGAGTGCTAGTAATTTCTTTCTATTCATAGTAGAGATAGGGTCTCCCTCTTGCTCAGGTTGGTTTTGAACTCCTGACCTTGAGCAATCGGCCGGCCTTGGCCTCCCAGAGTGCTAGGATTACAGGTGTGAGTCACCACTCCTGGCCAACATTTTTAATGAGATAATGAATTTGTAGGCCGGGGCGCGGTGGCCCACGCCTATAATCCTAGCACTCTGGGAGGCTGAGGTGGGCAGATTGCTCTAGGTCAGGAGTTCCAAACCAGCCTGAACAAGAGCGAGACCCGTCTCTACTATAAATAGAAAGAAATTAATGTCCAACTAATATATAGAAAAAATTAGGCCGGCATGGTGGCACATGCTGTTAGTCCAGCTACTCGGGAGGCTGAGGCAGAAGGATCGCTTAAGCCCAGGAGATTGAGGTTGCTGTGAGCTAGGCTGACGCCACAGCACTCTAGCCTAGGCAACAGAGTGAGACTCTGTCTCAAAAAAAAAAAAAAAAGAAATTTGTAAGGATCCCCCTAAATGTAATATAGATAGATGTATTGCTAAAAATGACCCATAAGCAATCTTTGAATTTTGCAGAAGATATCACTCTTATATTCAAGGCACTAAATATGCTGACTATCCATTCTCAAATCACTCATCTCATTAGGATACTTAGAAACAATTTAGGCTGCGTGTGGTGGCTCACGCCTATAATCCTAGCACTCTGGAGGCCAAGGCAGGCAGATTGTTTGAGCTCATGAGTTCAAGACCAACCTGAGCAAGAGCAAGACCCTGTCTCTACTAAAAAAAATAGAAAATATCTGGACAATTAATATATAGAAAAATAGCGGACATGATGGCGCATGCCTGTAGTCCCAGCTACTCGGGAGGCTGAGGCAGCAGGATTGCTTGAGCCAGGAGTTTGGAGGTTGCTGTGAGCTAGGCTGACGCCACAGCACTCTAGCCCAGGCAACAGAGTGAGACTCTGTCTTAAGAAAAAAAAAGAAAAAAGAAACAATTTACAAGTCTTCAGAAATCATCAATTCTTAGATACCAATTCAATGTAATTGTTTTTAAATTACAGATGTATTCCTGAGCCATGGCCCCTTTAACGGCAAGAGTAGTTAAAATTATAGTTGGTGACTTCTGTATCTGTGGTAAAGTTTAGGTTATTTTTTCCCCATAGGCTGCTGAGGGGACTCTGATTTTTATTCAGTCACATGCATGTATTTTTGTGATGATTACAACTGCTAGTTTTTTTTTAATATTAGATGAGACTTTAGACAAGATGAGGATTATATATAATCAAAAATGAAAATGCTTTAGAGAATCTTTCTATTTAAAGAAATAAAATAGTTTAGTTTGTAAGAAAATGTATTCATTCATGTAAGTAATTATGGAATTCCTGCTATGCCCAAGAACTACAGCAGGTGTAATGAGCGATATGGACCCTACCCTCAAAGAGTTGACAACCTAGGAGAACAAATAACAAATATACACACAGAGATAAACTAAGATTAGAAATGAGAGGTGCTGTGAAAGAAGCATGTTAGATAAATGCCTTAGGAGTTCTGAGGAGGGAAAGAGTTCTTCTAGCTTTGGTTATCAAGATGGTAAAAGAGAAAGAAGTAGATTTTTTTTTTTATTGAGACAGTCTCACTTTGTTACCCAGGCTAGAGTGAGGGCCGTGGCATCAGCTAGCTCACAGCAACTTCAAATCCTGGGCTCAAGCAATCCTACTGCCTCAGTCTCCTAGTAGCTGGACTACAGGCATGCGTCCACCACCGCGGCTAATTTTTTCTCTATATATTAGTTGGCCAATTAATTTCTTTCTATTTATAGTAGAGGCAGGGTCTATTTATAGTAGAGATGGTGTCTCACTCTTGCTCAGGCTGGTTTCGAACTCCTGGCCTCGAGCAATCCGCCCACCTCAGCCTCCCAGAGTGCTAGTATTACAGGCATGAGCCACGGCGCCCAGCCAAAAGAAGTAGATCTTAACACACAAGATAAGCTATTACAGCTTAGCTGTTTTGACTGATTTTGTTCTAATACTGAATTTCAAGCCTCTTACATACTTGCGAGAGCCACCTTACCCACTCTTGATATTCCTAGTAGTCCACTGGCAGTAGGTTTTCCATATGAACTCTCACTGTCAGTAGAGTTCTGTTAAGTAATTCATCAGAAGGCTTTCATTGTCAGAGCTCTCAACATGGGCCTTACCTGTAGGACAAGAAATATTTCTCCTGGGCTCTCAGGTCCCTTTGATCCCAGATACTTTTTCAAGGACCTCTCCTCATTCCCATTTCTAAAACCAGTGGTATTGATCTGATCTTAGTGTTCTGAACATTTGTTTTAGTTTCTATTTACAAGAGGTTGAGGATTAAGGTCTGTTAGCTAATGACTTTGTTTCTCTTTGCTTAAACAACTTATTAAGGTGTGATCACGATGGCTGTGGAAAAGCATTTGCAGCAAGCCACCACCTTAAAACTCACGTCCGTACACATACTGGTGAGTTCAGGCCAATTTTTATTTTTTATTTTAACTTTCCTCAAGCCTATAACTATCAGTGTTTCTGTAGAGACCTGCAGAGCGAGGTGGAGAGGGTAAGCCTAATCAGCTCAGTCTTCACCTGCAATGTTTGAGTTTCTTTCAGAGGTGAAAGGATCTAAAGGTTGGACTCAGGAATTCAACCTTAAGAAATGAAAATAATACAGAGATACCCTAAAAAAAGAGCCTATGAGAAAACTAATCTTCTCTTTATAAACTTAGCAGCAGCAGGCCATTCCCAGTGCTTTGCACTGCATTAAGTTTTGAGACTGAGATGATTGACATGTAATTTATTCAACTCTTAACAACTATTACCTGGACTCTCTTAACAATATTTACTTTCCTCTTTTAGGGAAGGGTGGGTTTCTTCATCCAGTCTTAATTACTTTGTGGTAAAATTAACCCTACTTTGTCATTCTTACAGGTGAAAGACCCTTCTTTTGCCCCAGTAATGGCTGTGAGAAAACATTCAGCACTCAATACAGTCTCAAAAGTCACATGAAAGGTCACGATAACAAAGGACACTCATACAATGCACTTCCACAACACAATGGATCAGAGGTATGCAGTGTTCTTGTCTCTTGTTTTGATCTGGGCACCATAGAACATCAAGATGTTGCGGGCGGTGCTTGCCTCACACGCCTTTAAGTCCTAGCAGCTCCTGTGAGGCCAAGGCGGGCGGAGGTGGTTGCTCGGAGGTCAGGCAGTTCGAAGACGGAGCGCCTGGAGCAAGGAGCAAGACCCCGCGGTCTACTAGTAGAAGTAGGAAGAGAAATTAATTGGCGCAGACTGAGGTATAGTGTAGTGAAGAAAATTAGCCAGGCATGAGTGGCGCGTATGCCTGTAATCCCAAGCAGCTCGGGAGGGCTGTGGGGCAAGTAGGAGTTGCTTGAAGGGCCCGCGGAGGTTGCAGGGTTGCTGTGAGCGTAGGCTGACACCACATGCACTGATTCTAGCTGGGGCCGAACATAGTCGAGACTCTGGGCTGGTCTCTCAAGAAAAAAAAGAATGCTTGCATATCGCAATAAAAGTGCACCTAAAATTTGCTTCTCTGTTATCTTGTAGAGGGTGAAGAGGGAGAAATCGGGTGTAAACCTGTTCTTGGACTTGACAGTATTCAGCCACCTACTTGACATCTCCACCCATACACCATCGTGACTCTTGTCAACGTGTTGACAGTGTCCCAACCTGCTACCTCCTGTGGTCTTCCCCACCTTAGTAAATGGCAGCTCTAGTTTTCTAATGGCAGAGGCCCAAACTCTTACAGTCATTCTTGACTCCTTCTTTCCCCCTTATATGCCAAATCCACCAGCAGAGTCTGTCACCTCTCCCTTGAGAATTTATCTAGAATCTGATCACTTCTTCTGATTACTTTGTTCAATCCAGTATTGTCTTTTTACTGGCTTGTTGCAATAACCTGCTGTGTGGGCTTCTTAGCAACTCCCTCCTTTCTCCCTAGTCTGCCTGATAATATGTAGAGTAGTCTTTCTAAACCATAATGCAGATTTCTGTCCTCTGCTCATAACCCTCCAGTAGCTTCTTGTATCACTTAAAGTAAAAGTCAGAATCTTTGTAATGGTCCACAAGACCCTACACATTCTGGCCCGGTCACTTCTCTGACCTCATGTACTTCTCTTGCTCTTACTTTAGCCATATTGTGCTCTTTGTGGTTCCTTGAACCAAGGAAGTCCACTTCTACCTCTGAGCTTTTGTACTTGCTGTACCTTCTGCTTGGAACACTTTCCCCAGATATGTATGTGGCCACACCTTCTTTCCTTCAATTTCTGCTCAAATGCTACTTATCTGAGAGTTTGTCCCTAAACATCTAACATAAGAGTGATTCCTATTCCAGCATTCCCTATTCCCCTTACTGTCCATAGCACTTACCATCCTCTTGCATACTTTATGTTTGTTTGTTGGTCCCCTTTCTCTCCACTAAAATGTAAGCTCTGTGGGACAGAGACTTTGTTTTGTTCATTATTGTATCCCTGGACCTAGAAAAGGCAACAGGCCTAATACATAGTAGATGCTCAATGAGTATTTATTGAATGCATGCATGAGTGGGAGCATCTGATCCACATGAGGTAAGCTTGGCTACCAACTAAAGTGTATAAATTGTGATTGGCATTCTAAGAATCTAGAGTCAGAGTAAGCCTGGGCAGTGGAATTTGAATAGTGAGTCCTCAGTATCACTCTGAGTAAGGAACCCTTGGGTGCTCATATTGGAGATACAGTGGCATACTGGAAGGAACATTGACTTTTCAATCAGAAGCACTGGATTTGTCTTTTTCTAATTATCATGTGTTTGGGACACTTCATTCCCACAGTCTTAGCATCAGTTTCCTCATGTTAAATATTTACAAGGTTTATATGAATAGCAAATGAGGTCATGTGAAATTAGTATGTAAATGATTAGACCAATTATACAAATATTATTAATTTTATATTATTACTATTATTATTATTATTTGAGACAGAGTCTCACTCTGTTGCCCAAGCTAGAGTGCCGTGGTGTCAGCCTACCTCACAGCAACCTCAAGCTCTTGGGCTCAACCAATCCTTCTGCCTCAGCCACCCAAGTAGCTGGGACTATAGGCATGTGCCATCATGCCCAGCTAATTTTTCTCTATATATTTTTAGGTGGCCAGTTAATTTCTTTTTATTTATTGTAGAGGTGGGGGTCTTGCTCTAGTTCAGGCTGGTTTTGAACTCCTGACCTTGAGCGATCCCCTCGCCTCAGCCTCCCAGAGTGCTAGGATTATAGGCGTGAGCCACTACGCCCGGCCGCCTAATGCCTTTTAACCTAGGTCACTTGGTAACCTCCTTGCCCCAGAAAATTTCTTTCTTTTATTTATCTAGCAAATGTTTATTGATAACTTCATCAGACACTGTGCTAGTGCTGAGTTTATAGTGGTGAGAAAGTAAGTATGGTTTGCACTTGAGGAGCTTAAAGTCTAGCACTGTAAGTTGTAGCCAGAATTTTAGTTTCTGAATTTTCTCAAACCCTATCTGTCCAACCTGGCTTAGTCTTTTCCCTTCTCTAAACTCACCTTATTGGGTTTTTTTGAAGGAAACCTCCTACATGGTCCTCTACTAAAGGACAAACCCACTCTATCTTGATCTGATTGCCTTGATTCCAGCTGTTAGGAAATTCCACCATTCCCACAGCTCTGTGATGCGACTTACAAATTATTGCTTTGAATCTGAGCCTGTGCAGGCTCCTCCACATGAACCTGAGAGTTTTACTGTATTTCCAATACTAATTTTCAGTTTGGATTTTTTGTTGTTTTTCGTGATACATAAATATAGATTAAGCTAGATTTTCTGTGATTATATGGGAAGTATTTGAATTCTCAAAGTGTGGTTAGTGGAGTCAACTACAGCACTCCTAAAATTCTAGGTTCTTGGGCCTCCCCACAGGCCTACTTAGTATGTCTGGGAGTGGCGTCTAAAATTGCATTTTTATATAAGCACCCAAGGCCTGGATTCTCCTTCTGGTAACAGCAGAGTTGCCCTTATGAGACCACCTTTCCCATAGAAGACAACTATAAACACTGGAAAAAATATAAAAAACAACTATGCAAAAGGCACTGGTGAGCAACCAAGAGCAAACAGAGGTAACCTTGGAGGAAGGGATGCTTGGAAGATGGTAAAGGCACTGGATAGGCTTGCAGATTTAATGGGCAAGCCCCAGTTGGCACCAAACAAGGCAAGGTGTCCAAACTCAGTAGAAAACTCAGTCTTACTGGCTTGAATAACCAGAGGACAGAGTTCAGGATAATCACAGCACCTGGAAAGTAAGGAGTGAGAGCCTGAAAGAGTCATAAAGGGAGAGCCCCAAATTCTGTGTATTAACTCTGCCCAAATCTCTGGCTGATCCTTGAACTTTGGATGTGGGGAACAGATACTAAGCATCCCAGGTAAGGCTAAAGAACTGAACAAAGATTGCAGCTGCTGTCCACTGCACGGAGTTAACAGAATATTCACATCAACAAAGAAATAAACACTCTTCCAAGAAGTATAAAGGAATCCAGAGTCTCTACAATTTATCATTTGCAATATTCAGAGCAATCCAAAATTAGTGAACATATGAATAAACAGGAAAACATAACTCCTGCTCAAGAGAAAAGATAACCTTCAGAGACCAACTCCAATGACCCATCTAGATAATAGAATTAACAGACAAGGATTTCTTTTAACTTTTTTAATGGAATAAGAATTTTTAAGTAGCTCTTATGTGCTCAAAGACATAAAGGAATATGCTTGAAATGATTGAATGAATAGGAAATCTCAGCAGAGATAGAGGAAATGTAAAAAATGTACCAAATGGAAATCTAGAACTGAAAAATATATCTGAAATAAAAAATTCACTGGATGGGCTTAATAGCTGATTGGAAATTACAGAAGAATTAGTTAAGTTGAAGATAGATTAATAGAAATGAACTAATTTGAAGAATAAAGAGAAAAAGATTAAGCGCTTCATATGATTTTTGTGCATATTCATATTTCACAACTAATGATCTAAAAGAAATTTCTATACTGGGTGGCCTAGATGTCCTCTAAGCTACCCAACTAAGATTTCTGGGTATAATATCCCTTTAACATTTAACTTTGTTATCTGTGGCCACTCTCTGGCCAGGACTATGAAATATGACTGAGGAGTTTTCTGGAGCCATAGGATCACCAGAGGTGATACCCTAGTATAAGGAGATATTAAATATTTGTAAATAAGGGAAGCCTTTTCTACCACAGTTTATATCATCAAAGAAGGGAGCTCTATCCCTTGGAATTTAATTGTATATTATGCCCCTTGTACTGAGCATTTATCCCAGGTTGGGAAATAGTTTGATTTTAGTCTTTCAAATTAAGGCTGTAATTCCTTGAAGCAATAGGATTAATTTTGCTTTGCTTTGAAATAAAAAATTAGGGCCAGGCATGATGGTATGTGCTTGTAATCCTAGCACTCTGGGAAACCAAGGCAGGAGGATCGCTTGAGTTTAGGGGTTCAAGACCAGCCTGAGCAAGAGACCTTGTCTCTACTAAAAATAGAAAAATTAGCTGGGTGTGGTGTCGTGCACCTGTAATCCCGGCTACTTGGGAGGCTGAGGCAGGAGAATCACTTGAGCCCAGGAGTTGGAGATTGCTGTGAGCTAGGCTAATGCCACGGTACTCTAGCCCAGGTGACAGAGCGAGACGCCATCTCAAAATAAATAAATAAATGAAAGAAAGGAAGGAAGGAAAGAAAAGAAAGGGAGAGAAAGAACTTGTTAAAATTAAATGATAAATTTGTATGAGATAATCATTTTATGGGTTTTTCAGCAGCCACATGTGTATGCATGTCCTAGAAACTGAACACTAGTTTGCTCAGATCTTTTGTTAAAGGAGGGTTGAAGGTGCTAGGGAATGACCCACTGAGCCATTTGGCTGCTGACCTCCAAGATCTACCCTGGTGCTAGACAGCCCCCAGTGTTCTTTCTGTTCTTTGTCTTTCCTCCAGGCCTCAGAGGCACAGCCTGTTCCTGTTTCCTCCACTTTTCAGCTTTGTTCCCACTCACTCTGCTCCCAGGGTTTCTTGAAAAACTTTTTATTAAGGTACAATATACATGCAGAAAAGTATGTGTATTATAAAGGTACAGCTTGATGAATCATCACAATTCATCATCCGCATGTAACCAGCACCCAGATCAAGAAAGAGAGCATTCCACACACCCTAGAAGCACCCCTCGTGCCCCAGACAGCCATTATCTCTCCCTAAGGATAATCATTGTTCTAAGATTAGTTTTTTGTGTTTTTCTGCTTTTATGTAATCATATACTTGTTCGTGTCTGGCTTTTTTCTCACAATATTATGTTTAAGAAATTAAGCCATATTGCCATATTATTGCATATAGTTATAAATCATTCGGGGTTGGTTGGTTGGTTTGTTTGTTTTTGAGGCAGAGTCTCACTCTGTTGCCCCGGCTAGAGTGCCGTGGCATCAGCCTAGCTGATAGCAACCTCAAACTCCTGGGCTCAAGCAATCCTTCTGCCTCAGCCTCTCGAGTAGCTGGGACTACAGGCATGTGTCACCATGCCCGGCTAATTTTTTCTATGTATTTTTAGTTGGCCAGTTAATTTCTTTCTATTTTTAGTAGAGACACTTTTGCTGAGGCTGGTTTCAAACTCCTGACCTTGAGTGATCCACCCACCTCAGCCTCCCAAATTGTTAGGATTACAGGCGTGAGCCACCATGCCCGGCCTAGATCATTGATTCTTGTTGTTGAACAGTATCATACTAAATGAATATACCACAGTTTGTTCTTTCTCCTGTTGGGCATTTGGATAGTTTCTAGTCTGGAGTGATTACAAATAGCCCTGCTGTGAACAGTCTTATACATATGTTTTGGAGGCACACAAGCACATTCCTTTTTGTTCGTTTTTTTTCCCCAATATTATTGAAGTATCATTGACAAATATAGCCCTTTCCTTTTTAGTGATGTTACTACTGATAATGATTTATAAATAAGTGGAATAAAAATAATAACCATGAGGAAGTTGCAAAGCTAACTGCTCAGTGGTAGTTGTTAGCCTACTATTTTTCAAACTGGAATGCCCCTCTATATTGGGTTATATAACAGAGTCGTAGTTTACAATCAACATATCAAAGACATCAACAGAATAGAAAATATCAGAGGACACTGCATGTAGTAAGGGTAAGCTCTGTTCCATAGACTTTTGTTTCAGTTATACATATGATTATGATTATATTACATATGAACATTTACATATGAATTACTACATATGTATATATGAATATATAATTAGTGATTCATATGAATATCTACATATGGATTACATACATATACATATGAATATGATTATATTTTATTTTATTTGTTTATTTATTTTGAGACAGAGTCTCACTTTGTTACCCAGGCTAGAGTGAGTGCCGTGGCATCAGCCTAGCTCACAGCAACCTCAAACTCCTGGGCTCAAGCAATCCTTCTGCCTCAGCCTCCCTAGTAGCTGGGACTACAGGCATGCGCCACCATGCCCAGCTAATTTTTTCTATATATATTAGTTGGCCAATTAATTTCTTTCTATTTATAGTAGAGACGGGGTCTCACTCTTGCTCAGGCTGGTTTTAAACTCCTGACCTCAAGCAATCTTCCCGCCTTGGCCTTCCAGAGTGCTAGGATTACAGGCGTGAGCCACCGCAACCGGCCTGAATATGATTATAATATGAAGTATATGTGTACAAATAATGTAAAGTGTATTTCTTTGTGTCACAATGAAAATTTCTTGGCCACATTTTTGGCCTATGAATCTTGACTCCCTCTGGACTTGAAGATGGAAGTTCTGCATAGGTTTCTGCCTTCAGCTTCCGTCCTACTGATGATCAGAATCATTGAACTTCGCTTCTCACTCTTCAGCTCATAGAATCATAATAGAATAATTGGCCTCTCTTGGCTCCAGTGGGTAGTTTCATCTCTGAGCACCTCTAGATTGGTGGACAGCAAAGTGATCCTTCTGAGTCTCCCTCCCAGAAGCAGAATTGTTGCAAAGTGACCTTAAAATACAAGTTGGCACGGGGGCCAAATCTGACCTGAAGATAGGTTTTAGTCTGGTCTATACAGGGTGCTTAAATTATTTTCGATTACAGTTGATCCTTGAACAACATGGGGTTTAGGGGCACTGATGCCCTCCACATAGTCAAATCCACATATAACTTCTGACTCCCCCAAAACTTAACTACTAATAGCCTACTATTGACCAGAAGCCTTACCAATAACATAAACAGTCAATTAACACACCTTTTTTTAATGTTATATGTACTGTATACTGTATTTTTATAATAAAGTAAGAGAAAAGAAAATGTTAAGAAAATCACAAGGAAGAGAAAATAACTTTGCTATTTATTAAGTGGAAGTGGATTATCATAAAGGTCTTCATCCTCATTATCTTCACTTTGAGTAGGCTGAGGAAGAGGAGGAGTTGGTCTTGCTGTCCCAGGGCTGGCAAAGGTGGAAGAAAACCCACATATACATGCACCCATGCAATTGTTCAAGGGTCAACTGTACTTGCTTTTACTTATAATACAAGTTGATAGATTTCATGTAAAAATCCAAATTTCACCTTTCTTGAGTTCAGGTAATCTCTGGCCTGCATAGTTGCATGGCAGCATCCAACTGAAGCCCTTCAGATTACCAGGCACATCCTCTCCCATGTGCCACAACCCCCCACATCTGCCCCCTTGCTTCACGTATTTCTGTTGCTTGCCTGGACTTCTGTAAGCGGTTACCTTTATCACTCTTGTTCCACAGAACACACAGTGGATGTGGCCTGGAGGTGGACTGTGGATAAAAGAACTGCGGTTTTTCCCCTTCCCTTAACTAAAGAGTGATCATTTTAATTAGTGGTTACTGGGAGTCAGGCTCTTAGGACATTGTTGGGCCCCTCCCCCCCATATTTTATCTTTTTTCAAATGCCTCTGACCTTTCATTAAGTATAGAGCTATCAACATTGCTTGTCATTGTTTTGTTGTATTGTTTGATTTATTACCATGGGTACATACTAGAATATCATAGATATTATGTAATAACCTTGAAAGATATTTACAATATATTATTACTACATGAGAAAAGCAAATTGCAGAGTAATGAATATTATACAATCCTATTTTTATGTAAGATTTGATCTTTTAATGCAGGAATCAGCAAGGTTTTTTGGTAAAGGGCCAGATAGTAATATTTTAGGCTTTGTGGGCCACAGGGTCTCTGTCACAACTACTCACAACTATAAACAATACTTAAATGAATGAGTGCCACTGTAACCATCATTCCCACTCCTAACACAGCTATCCTGCAGTGTTCTAATAAAACTTTATTTACAAAAACAGGCAAGTCATTGTTTGCCAACTCTTATTTTAGAGTATCTGAGGACTCAAATCTTCAGTGTCTGAGGTTTAGGGTAATGTATGTTACTTTGAAATAGGAGAAGGTAGAAACAAGAGGCAGCTCAGAAGATCATTCGAGTACTGGGGCTCTGAATATGCTCTTTTTGGTGAAGAACCGTCTGAGGATAAAGAGTTTCACATCTCTGTCTTTCTCCAACAGACACAGGGCCAGGACCTCAGCACAGTTTCACCAGCAGTCATCTTTGAGTCAATATTCCAGAATTCAGATGATACAGCAATCCAGGAAGATCCACAACAGACAGGTGTGTTATGCAGACTCATCTGGCTCCCATCTCAGCACTTGTTGACACACCAAGTGACAGGCACAGAGAAATATCCCAGTTAGTTAGCTTAAATGAAGTGGGCTTCCTGGTAAGGGTCAGAAAAGTATAGGCCTTTTCATTCAATCCCATCTTTTCCCCTATTTCCCTAAGTCCTGATAAAGAGGGTCTCCTTTCACACAATCTCTTGTTGGCTTTAAAAAATATGAGGAGCTATGAGCTCTTACTTCTGATGTGATAATACCCTGTTCATGAGTGGATAGGACCCACAAACTGAGCTTTGTATGCATAGATCATACTGTTTGAATGAAAATTTGTCTGTAAAACTTCACAGTAGTCAGAAAGTATATTTACTGGTCATGCCAAGAAAAGGATGTATAGTTTATTTTCTAGAAAAGTTTTAGGACACTTTGACACTTTTTTTATGGTTATACCTATACTAGGTCTTCACATTTAGAAAGTGAGCTTGATTGTGAAACCCCGTACTTTGAAAAGCAGAAAGCCAGTCTGCCAGCAGTGAAGGAATTGGCTCTAATGGACTTTAGCTGTCTTTTGTTTAGCCCATAATGACTGTGTTTTTGTGGCTCCTCTAAGGCTTGGGATATGTATATATATTTCTATTTCTTTTTCTTGCCAGCTGCCTTGATTGAAAGTTTTAATGGTGATGCAGAGTCAGTCAGTGATGTTCCGCCATCCACAGGAAATTCAGCATCTTTATCTCTTCCACTTGTACTGCAGCCTGGCATCTCCGAGCCACCCCAGCCTCTACTACCAGCTTCAGCTCCGTCTGCTCCGCCTGCTCCCTCCCTAAGAACTGGTTCCCAGCAAGCTGCATTTGGCAACCCCCCTGCTCTCTTGCAACCTCCAGAAGTGCCTGTTCCCCACAGCACACAGTTTGCTGCTAATCATCAAGAGTTTCTTCCGCACCCCCAGGCACCACAGCCCATCGTACCGGGACTTTCTGTTGTTGCTGGGGCCTCTGCAGCAGCAGCAGCGGCAGTGGCATCAGCTGTGGCAGCACCAGCCCCACCACAAAGTACTACTGAGCCCCTGCCAGCCATGGTCCAGACTCTGCCCCTGGGTGCCAACTCTGTCCTAACTAATAATCCCACTATAACCATCACCCCAACTCCCAACACGGCTATCCTGCAGTCCAGTCTGGTCATGGGAGAACAGAACTTACAATGGATATTAAATGGTGCCACCAGTTCACCACAAAACCAAGAACAAATTGTAAGTATTATGTATAAACATACCGAGTGGGGTGAAGTGTATTTACATTGGTGACATGTTCAGAGGCTTTTATTTCACAAAGGAAAATGGCTATCATATCTACCCTGAAACATGTCATTCTGCCTCTTAGTCATTTTCCCCATAATCGAATAGTATAAATACAAGGAATGCTTTGTCAGTACCTACAATAAGGAAACAGAGAAACAGCCTTTAAGTTTACCTAGCAGGAGTCACTTGAACAAATATTCCTATTAATATTGCAAACTAATCGCCTCATCTGATAATATGGAAAGCAGTCAGCAAACTCCAGAGGCTCAAGAATATTTCAGAAAAGCAAGTTATCTCCAAGGCAGAGCCAGACTGATGTGACCCAGTCAGACTGAGCCAGGCAGCAGTGGCCAAATCAGAGAAATAGTCTGTGCTGCCAGAGCCACCATAGAACCATTTTCTAAGGAAGTGTTTGGTTTTGATGACTGTGAAAATGACTTAGTCATTCAATTAAATATATTTTGAAAGCGTAATATTTGCCAGATGTCACATTGGATACTCTGGAGGATTTACAGAAAAGTGAAAAACATGATTTCCTATTCATAAAAACTTACATTCTAGTTAAAAAGGCTAAAATGTGTAAAAGAAAGTTAATATTGCCTGTAGGTAAAGTGCCAAATAATAGTAATGGTAATAAAAAAAATAAGAAAAGCTATAATTTATTGAGTCCTTACTATGTATAAGGACTTACTGTGCTGAGCACTTTTTAAAATTAAGGCTCTAGCATATGTCAGTTATTTTTTTTTTATTTCAGCATATCATATGTCAGATATTAACTATGTATGTTATTTTTTGGATTACTTTTTTTTTTAAGATTTTATGGAACAGATAGTATAGAGAGTTCCCATGTACCATTTTCCCCTCACCAGTTTCCCCTGTTATTAACATCTTACATCAGTGGTACATTTGTTATAATTGATGAAGCAATATTGATACATTATTATTAACTAAAGTCCATAGTTTACATTCGAATCCATTCTTTGTTTTGTACTGTTCTTTGGTTTTGACAAATGCATAATGTCAGGTATCCACCATTACAGTATCCAGAATAGTTTCACCACCCTAAGAATTCCCTGTGTTTCACTTGGTCATCCCTTCCCCTCCGCCAGCAACCAATGATCTTTCTACTGTCTCTGTATATCTCTATCTATATGTTGCACTAAGCACATATTAACATATTACAACAATCCTAAGAGGTAGGTGTGATTTTACCAATGGAGAGATGAGATCCAGAGAGGTTCAGTGACTGGCTGAAGGTCAGACAGCTCATAAGTGGCAAAACTGGGATAGGCAGGCTGACCTCAGAATCTGTGCTCTTGGCTACTACATTGTGCTGCTAGGTGAGGGGTTCAGACCCTAAGGGCTTGTTGAGTGGCCATTCAGGTCAGGTGAGCCTTGAGACATGAGTAGGAGTTAGATGGAGAAGAGGATGTACTAGGTAGGAGAATCTGTGGGTGGATATATGCTGCTATGAAACAAACTGGAAAGGCGGTTTGGACTAAATAGTGAGAGCATTCAGATTCCAGAAGTTGGGGGGCAGCCACCTCTAGAGGCAGCCTATTTCCATCTTCAGATGGCCAGAGTCATTTGAAAGGTTTTTCCCAGTATTGTGACCCAATCTGCTTCCATGTAGTTTTTATTGTTTTGTCTGGACAAATGTCATTCCTTTTCCACAGACTTCATTTTAATGTGTTTAAATATGGGTCTCATTTCTCCATAATTATTTTATAGCATCATCTCCAGTAACTTAGCCAGAAGCTTTCACTTTCCTCCCAGACTCATCTTAGAGGCGTTTTTTTTTTTTTTTCCCCTTAGAGGAATAAAAGACAAAGCCCATTTAAGATAAAGACTTGAAGAAAGCAGAAACTGTTTAGCCAATTTAATAGGAAATGTACTACAGTGATAGGGGTGATTTTCCAGGTATAAGTTTATAGTCCTACTTAGTAATAGTAATATAAATAGCTAGTGTTTACTGAATGTTCATCATGTGCCAAGTACTCAACATGCATCATCTCATTATTCTTCACAGGGGCCTTTGAGAAGGTCTTTGGTTATTGTCTTAGTCCATTTTCTATTGCTTATAATAAGATAACCTGAAAAGGATTTTATTTCTTACAGTTATGGAGGCTGATAAGTCCAAGGTTGAGGGGCTGTATCTAGTGAGGCCATCATGCTGATGGGAACTCTGTAGAGTCTCGAGGCAATGCAGGGTTATCACATTGGCAAGGTGGCTGATCATGCTAGCTCAGGTCTCTCTCCCCATGCCCCCTTTTATAAGAGACAGGATCTCACTAAGTTGCCCAGACTGGCCTTAAACTCTCAAATTCCTACGCTCAAGTGATCCTCCCTCCTTAGTCTCTAGAGTAGCTGGGTCCATGGGTGTATACCACCATGCCCAGCTTCTCTTCCTCTTATAAAGCCACCAGTCCCACTCCTGTGAGACCTGTTAATCCATTAATCAATGAATGAATCAATCCATTCATGAGGGCTCAGCCCTCATGGCCCAATCACCTCTTAAAGGCCCTACCTCTCAATACTGCCACATTAGAGATTAAATTTCAACATGAGTTTTGGAGGGGACAAATATTTAAACCCTAGCAGTTATTTCCATTTTTACACACAAGGAAACTAAGGCTCTAAGAAATTAAATCACTTGCCTAACATCAACAACTGATAAGTGGCAGAACTTGGATTTGAATCCAGGTGCGACTGAGTCCAGGGCCCAGCCTTGAACCATCCTGTGCAGCTTACAGCACATTGCCCAGGGCCTTCATGGGCTGCCTACCTGTCAGAGGAAGCCTTAGCCTGTGCTTAGCATGCAGCTTAATCCCCGAGGGAAAAAAAATGAACTTTCCAGCTTTCATAGAAGTATTAGGGGACAGAGGGGGAGATGAAAGCCTAGAAGCAAAGCTAGCCCTGGGGTTCCCTCTGAAAAGACCATCAGTTTGAGAAAAGCAACCTTGGGGGGAGCCTTTGGATACACAGAACCCATTGGATTAGGTAGCTGGGAGACAGCCAAGTAGTAGGGTACAAAGCTAGCTACATTGTCAGCACTGAATGTCAAACAGGGCAGTGACCTCATGTCAGAGCACAAACAAAACATCACTTAGTACATAAATCCCTGAACACTGAGGGTTTTTTGTTCTCTTGGATGACCATTATAATTCAGGTCCTTGGAAATCTGCCAGATTACAGTGGTCATAAATGTGATTTCTGTTTGTTTTTTTTTCTCCTTCTTCTTCTTCTTCTTCTTTTCAGCAGCAAGCATCTAAAGTTGAGAAGGTGTTTTTTACCACTGCAGTACCAGTAGCCAGTAGCACAGGTATGTAATTCCATGTTAGTCTTAAGAAAAAGTCGATTCTCTGGGCCCCTTAAGGCACAGTTAATTATTGCTTTGCCTCAGTTTTTAAAACTTTAAAAATCGTTAAACACCTTCAGTTACATTCATCACATTGTATTGTTTATTAGAGTATTTCATTTTCTCACAACTATTAGAAGGTAATGTACTTTTGGCATATATGCCATGTTTAATATTTCTTAAGTACTAATAGTTCTTTACCTTTAAGATACAACTTGTAAATGCAGAAAAAAGTTTGAATCACAGTTAATGCTAAAGCGGGCAGTTGTTAATTCACTGGACTCTTTTCTAATTACAGTAATGAAGAAATAGCATCTGGGTCAGAGACTCGTATAGAGCTGAAAGTTCCTTTTATTCAAATTCTTGCTTTTATAGATTAAGAAACTGAAGGCTGGGTGTGGTGGCTCACGCCTGTAATCCTAGCACTCTGGGAGGCCGACATGGGCGGATCATTTGAGCTCAGGAGTTCGAGACCAGCCTGAGCAAGAGGGAGACCCTGTCTCTACCAAAAATAGAAAAAACTAGCTGGGCATAGTGGCACATGCCTGTAGTCCCAGCTACTCGGGAGGCTGAGGCAGAAGGATCACTTGAGCCCAAGAGTTTGAGGTTGCTGTGAACTAGGCTGACGCCACGGCACTCTAGCCTGGGCAACAGAGTGAGACTCTATCTCAAAAGAAAAAAAAAAGAAAAGAAACTGAGACCCAGAAAAATTAAATGACTGCCCCAAGGTCATAAATAAATTTGTGGTGGAGCCAAAGCACTAGTTCCCAGGCCTCCCAATTCCCACTCTGTTCTCCTGCCTGTTGGTCTTTAGCTCTGTTGAGACCCAGAAAGCCTGGCTGAATTCAGAGCATGCATGTGCACAACACATATGTGAGAGAGAGAATGGATATGAATGAGAATGTGCGTGCATGCAAGGCCTGCTGTGTAAAAGGAGATTCAGTGATACCTACTGTGTGTTAGACACTGGGGCTGTAAAGATAGCTGAGATGTCCTAAAGGGGCTCAGCCTCTCAGGCAGGGGGAACTAAGCCAGTCCCGAACAGCATGGAGAGAGGCATGCAAGGAAGACAGCAGCACTGTGCACATGTGCCAGGTAGCTTGGTGCTGGCTAACCCGGGCTAGCCTTCTGCATAGGCCTACAGAGAGGGAGGGAGTGGGCTGGGGCTTGAAAGAGGAGTGTTAGTTCTCCAGAAGAAGAGCAGCGTCTGGGGATTTTAGGCATAAGGAAGAGCCCGTAGGCCCAGAGGTATAGAGAACATGTCAGGAAAAGGTGGCTATGTGGAGGGTACAGCAGAGAATGGCTGGAAATGAAGCTGCAAATACAGGGTCATCTCAATTGTGTGTGTAGCTTTCTAAAGAACGGGGGCTTTGTCATACAGGGCTGGGGAATGTCAGGCTTTTTCCCTGAGAGGGAACGTGGCCCAGTTGAAAGCTGAGAAAAGCCTGGAGCATGGCACCCATCCTTCCCACTGTCCCTGCCTCCTGGCACTCAGCTCTCACCTCGTCTACAAACCCCTGCCCCTCACACCTCTGCCCTGCGGCTACTTGAAGAGCAGTATCTCTCGCCTCTCTCGCAGGGAGCTCTGTACAGCAGATTGGCCTCAGTGTTCCTGTGATCATCATCAAACAAGAGGAGGCATGTCAGTGTCAGTGTGCATGCCGGGACTCTGCAAAGGAGCGGGCGTCTAGCAGGAGAAAGGGCTGTTCTTCCCCACCCCCTCCAGAGCCGAGCCCCCAGGCTCCTGACAGGCCCAGCCTGCAACTACCACCGCAGACTTTTTCCTCACCTCCTGTCCCCCTGTCGTCATCCTCCACCGTGCCCTCCTCCTGTGAGCAGAGCAGACAAGTACAGACTCCTTTAGACCCTCATACAGAAACATTAAGTGCCATGGATGTGTCAGAGTTTCTGTCCCTCCAGAGCCTGGACACCCCATCCCATCTGATTCCCATCGAAGCACTGCTGCAGGGGGAGGAGGAGATGGGCCTGGCCAGAGGCTTCTCCAAGTGAAGGCCCACGCGTGCTCACCTCCTGGACAGGAGGCGAGCAGGAGGCAGTGGGTGTGATTCCTGCCATCATGGGTCAGAAAATTTGAAGGATGAAGAAATCTGTTTGAAATCCTCACCTTTCAGATGTATTTTCTTTGTTCACATCCCAGGAGCATCCATTTTAAGGAACTAATCTTTGGAAAAAAACAAAAAACAACAAAAAAAAAGCTAAGTTATAAATGAACTGTTTGGCTGCACTGTATGTCACTTTTGCTTGTCATGTGAACTTGGAAATTAAGGTTACTCGTATGCATAAAAATTCTAAATGAAAGGATGTGGTTTCCATCTATCTGGTACTGCCCATCACTTGCACTGGGGTCTTTGTGGATTGGGCAGGAGAGTTCAGTGTGTTGGGTGTTGCTCCTCCCTGTGTGTCTTTTGATTCTGAGGCTGACTTTTGCTCGGAAGGCCAGACCCTTGCTCCATCAGAGAGGGCAGTGGCAAAGGCCAACGAGACAGCTGTGAGTTAGACAGAGTTCGGTGAGATGGCCTTGTTTGCGCTTGGTGTCAGTGGAGCTCAGGGTGGATAACGTAGGGGTCATCCTGCAGCCCTCTTCAGCACAAATGGGCAGCTTAAGGCCTGGCCCACAGGCTGCTGGCATGACCCGGTTCTGCAGAGGCCCTAGGCAAGTTGTTGACTGCTGTCTATCGATGACGTGTGTACAGAGCAGGCTCTAGCAACACGATCACAGTCTTTACCTTCCTGGTTCTTTCCGTTTCTCAGTTGCCAGGGCTTGCAAATTGCAGTGAATTTTCCTTGGAGAACATCCCTGTTTATGTCCTAGGGTAAACATGTGGTGTATGGCCAGCTGCCGGTCGGTGGTCTGCCTTCCTTTTAATGGTATTTGCTTCCTCAGAGCAGAAGGGCTGCATTTTGCTTATCAGGAGAAGGTGCAGATTTAAGGGAGTTGGTATGAGGTGGCATGTAATTGGCAGGCCAGGTGTCCTGGTTCGAGGTTCTAGCCAGGCTTTGGTTGCCCCCTCCCATCTCTGCCCCACATCCCTCTGGATTTTGCATACAGCCTAGTACAGTGCAAACGAGAATGTGACTTGCTCGGCTTAGTCATGTGATTTCTAAAAAAGAAAAACATAAAACGATGATCTTCTACTCAGGGTAAAACAAAACAAAAAATTCCCCTTCCACCAAAAAGCCTGAAATGTTGCAATAAGTTATCTCATTTGGAATGTTTCATTAAGTTGTGTTATAGGAAAAAAAAATTGTGTGTGTGTGTGTGTATAGAATTATATCCATCTGTCTGCCTTTGGCTCCAAGTCATTGCCTCTTAAAATAAAACATAAAATACAATCCACACTAGAATGGAAAGTTTGTCTCAACTGGCTATATTAATATAGTCATGAGTGCTCACCAAATTCACCAAGCTTAGAAGCTAGGCATGGCCCGAGGTGTGGAATAGGCCTGTGCCTCCAAAGAGCCTTTGCCTGCCTTGTGTGAATAGCAGTGTTCCACAAACAGGGCTGTTCTTCTGAGTCAACAGTGTCAGGCAGAAGGCAGCCGTAACTTTGCCTTGCATTTCCACTCCCTAATGTAAGGAAATCTTCATTGGTCACTCCCCTGTTCTTTGAGCCATTGCTCAGGGCCAGCCAACAATATGCAGAGCAGATAATTTACCTTGGAGCCAGAGGCCCTACCTTCATCCAGGATGTTCAGGGACAGACTTGGACCAGAGGGCAGTGGTGGTGAATGTTGTTACTGCCATGAGGAGAAATGGGCTTAACTACAACCAACTGACTTCTCACTCCAGTAGTCTAGCTAGGAGAATTAATTACTTTTTGACTTTCTGCAATCCCCTCCCCAAAAGGCTGGTGGGTTCTAGGGACCATGGACCTCAGCAGAAGTTGGAAAGGCAGGAGGAATCTTCTGTTACCACAGTGGGTTAGTCCTCCTGGAAAACCAACTGCTGAGCCCAAGTTATCCTTGGCTGCCTCTGGGCCTTGCAACCATAAGAAGCTTTGAGGTTGGGCCCTTGCTGTTTACAACTTTTAAGAGAGTAGTGGATGGGACCCCAACGTTAGCCTGTCCCAGAGAGCAGTAATGACTGTCTCATTTGTCCATTCTATGTTTAGGTGATGTTTGGGCTCCCTGGGAGCTGAGGCAGGACTAGGAGCCCCGGGAAAGACATTTGAGGTGTCTATGGTTTATATATTGTTTCTTCCTGGCTAGCCAGGGCTGTGCTTATGTTGGGCACTACCCAGGTCAGTGGCCTTTCTACTCTCCGAAGACTGGGGGTGATGAAGAAGCATCTTAATCAGTGTTTAGCTTGACAGATTTTTCCAGCTGAAGAAGTTTAAGTATCTGCCTTTTGAGAGTGATTTTAGATTACAAGAGAGACTATCAGATCTTAATCAGCTTTTGAAAAATCAGGAATGTGCTTAAAATGCCAGTGAGTGGTTGTGAAGAGATTTATTCCCCAGGGTAGGCAGTCTTTCCCTCCTCTCCTGGTGCTTCCCCCCCCCCATCCTTCCATAAGCCTGGCCTCTAATGCCAAGGACCTTGGAGAAGAGAGGGCCCTTGCCTAAACTGTAGCCAGAAAGAACCTTCATGGAGAGTGGTTTTCCAAACCTGGGAATGAACTGAGAGGGAATTTAGGGGGGGTCTGCAGAAGTCTAGCAGGTAAATCAAGCCTTTTTTTCTTCCCATGGTAAACTTAACCATTTTCACCCTGTAGATTTATACTTCGAGCTCCCACTAGCCTCTCCAGGTAGACTGCCCCTTTAAAGGGTGCTCAGCACCAGGGATTGATGTTCATGGGTTTAGGAGGTGGTAAGGAAACTCTGGCTGGCACCACCAAACTGCCTTAGTGAAATTGGCCCTTCCCAGGCAAATAGGTATGGGGGGGGAGCATTGAGGGAAGGTGGCCCAGTCTTTCCTGGCAGGGTCTGGCCACTCTTGTGGGGGCACCACTAGTTTGGTGACAGAAGTGGTGTCATTTATTGAATTCCACCTTCTTTTAGAAGGAGATCATGGTACAAAGCCCAGGAGGGGCCTTAAGATGTGAAGACTTCTCTGGGTAGAAGGGAAGGGGCATCTCTTTCACCTCTGGGAAAGACGGTAGATTGGAGAGTTTTATTTTCAGGGTCAAGGCTGTGGACTGATGGGGATAATGGAAGGTGGGTGAGTTTTCCTGAGAGACTCTGTATAATGCTGAATGTGTCCAGAGGGACAAGTTTGCAGAACCTCATATTGGTATATTAAAGAAATAATAAAATAAAAAAGCACTTTAGGTTATTTTATCTTTAACCCAATTGCTGCAATTTCTTTTGTGTATATATATACATATATATACTTTCCACAAAGTTTTATTTTTTGCTCAGAATAAAAAGTTAAATTGAGGTGTGAAAAGAAAAGCACTTACCTTGGTGCAATATGTGTAGCTTGACAGTCGTTGTCCCATGTGGCCCTGGCCTGGCCGCGTTTTTCCACTTGAACAGCCCTGTGCTATGAGGTTGTTCATAGGGAAACACTATTATGCATTCTCCGCAACTGCTCAATCTATGCAAGCCTTCCCTGTGTGCCCCGGGGCGCCCCTCAGGCTCTCTGAAGATCTGCTGTGGGTCCTGTTTTCCTCTGCTGACTGTTGAGGCCCATTTTCATCACCTCTTGATCCCTTGCCATCTTTCCCCTCTTCACTGCAAAGTGATGCCTGAAAGGAAGGAACAGGTTGTTCCTAGGTAGAAACCTGGCACCTTCTAGACTTTTATATTTATAATCATGTCCATTGTCCTTAATCTTAAAGACTTCTCCAGAGTCACTGAAACCATTGATTTGTGGAACTGCAACAATATTGCTCAAGAGTTTACAATTTTCTTACACCACCAATCAGAAATATGTTTGGGGAGGTGTTGGTGGTAGTAGGGAGGCAACATGAGCCATTTCCATACTGCTCCCTGTACTAAATACCTGTGTTGGTTCCTTAAGCAAAAAGGCCTCCAGCCTTCATTAAATCCAGTAAATAAAGCTTTTAATAATCTGTTTTATCAACTTTCTTCCTTCTCCTCCACCTTCATCCGTTTTATCTTCAATTCTCAGGCTATAGAATGGAGAAATTTTAAAAGATACTTCAGCCAAAGCAGAAAGATTTTCATAGATCCAATATGCAAATTGTTCTGCTGTGACATAGATTAGAAATTGTCCACTCCTTAACATTGGCACAGGGATTGGGGGAGCAGTGCGCAACAAAACTGAGTGAGTTATGCATATTTCTGATTGGTCATTTTAGCCTGTTTCCTCTTGCATACTTTTGGGGGAGAGAGGGTAAGGGTCCTGTATTTCTTCTCATGCTCTTAGGGAAAGCTGATGACCACAGTCTGGGCATTTCTCACTGTTACTCATGTTCAAGAGAGGGCTTCTCAGTCTGCACTGAAAAATGCAAATTAAACTGGATCTTTTGTCAATGTGTACATAGTACAAGCTTTTTTACTGGAAGTGAGGTTCAAAACCACACACTGCCCTTTTGGTGGTGTGCCTGCTGGGCCAAAAATCGGGCGATAATGTAGTGTCACTTTCTCAGCTCAGTGCAGTTTCTACTTTTTCTTATGGGAAAATTTTTCATAAAACCTTTTTGCACCAAAACCCAGGGATGTTTTTTGCAATATCCTTGTTATTGTTGTAGTGATGCCAAGTCAGAGGCTTCTCTTGCCCTTTTCCTCCTGTGTTCTTAGGCCTCCCAAGGGCTGTTCGACACAACAGTCTACATCCTTTGTTGTGTTTTGGAGAATGTGGGAGTGGGGGTCAGAGTTCAAGGTGGCTGTTCCCTTATCCTGTGAATTCCTCCTAGTCCCTGTTTGGGGAAGGTGGCTGGAAACAGATTTTTGCTAAATCACTGGCTCGGATCTTCGAGCCAGGAAAGGCAAGAGCCCACGAGAGCCTTCTTTTTTGACACACACTAATCATTGGCCGGGGTCTTGGTGACAATTTTTTAAATCCCAAATAGTTTTATTTGGATTATGTAAAAGTCTATCAAGTTTATTTAAGTGTGAAACATGGGAACAACGGACTTCCACTGAGCGATATGAAAACGTTACAGGTTCAGTACTTCCAAAGGAAGAAACCTCCAAACCCAAAAAAGAATAAATATGAATTTGTATTTTTGAAGAATGTGAAATAATGGTGTTTGCTTAATTGCTCATTTTGTATAAACTTAATATTGTACTTTAAAATATCTGCTACGAAGTGAAAATTTAACTTTTTGAATTGAAAAAGCAATATTAAATACTAATGAAATCCTAATTAAATGCTTATTTAAATCTGGTAGTATCTGTGGCATTTCTTCCCGACCCTGCCCATGGTTGACATTTTCCCACCACTCCCCCCTGCCCAGCCATCAGAGTCTTAGAGAAGGGACAGAAAGGAAAGGCCGGTCACCAGGAGAGTCTGCAGGTTTCCTTTTAATCAAGGCTCTGCTAAAGGTGTTTTGTGGGGCTAAGAGCCCCCAAAGCATGAAATGGTCATGTAACACCACCTAGATCCCCCATAGCAGGCCAGACCACTCTGGCTAGCACTGCTAGTCTGCCCAAATCCGGGTAATCAGACTGGGTATTCGTTGGCTACATTTCAAAGCCCAGCACTGCTTTCAGCCAGGATGAAGTGGGAGTGAACCCAGCTGCTAGCAGAGCTGCCACCCCAGGCTGAGAGCCAAGTACCAGCCACTGCCAGTGAAGACTGGCCCCTTTATTGAAGGGAGTTGTTCAGAGTCCGGCCACCAGCCCTGGGGAGGGGAGAGAAGTAAGGACATCCGGTTCGGGCATGGTCAGGCCTCCGCAGCTCCATCGCCAGCATCCTTTGGAAAGCCACCTCTGGTGGAGACAGCTGGCTGGGGGGGCGCTCCGGGTTTGGCTGAGACGTTCTAGTTGGAACAGAAAGGAAAAAAGTGAGGCAGGGAGGAAAGGCCTTGGCTTAGGCCCACAAGGATATGGCCACTGGCATTTGGATAGTATTAACTTTTCCAAAACCTCTCGCCAGATCAAAGGTTAGGGGTAAAACGGTGGGGACACTCTTCCCCCACTTCAGGGGAAGCTAGGGCTTGGCCAGTCTACCCAGTGGGCAGATCCCACCCCCGAGGCCCAGTCCGGGGTGGGCACTGACCCCGCCACCAGCAGGCTCCGGGCGCCGGCGGCCCAGCTGCCGCAGCATCTCCTCGCAGGCGGCGATGGTGTCCAGGAGCTGCCGCTGCCGCTGTTCCACCGCGTCCAGCAGCTGCTGGGCGCGCTCATCCCGGGGCGGCTGCGGGGGTGGCCTCCCGCCGAGCCCCAGCCCCGCCTTCCCGCGGTCCACGCCGGCAGCCTCCCTGCTCGGGAGAGAACGAGAGACAGACGGTCAGGGCCGGCGCTTGCGCGGGGTCCGGGTCCGAGCCCCTTCCCCCCGCCCCACGGACCCCCTCTCACCCCCGTGACCAGGCTGAGCCCGGGCCCCATTCCATCTCCGCCTGCGCGGCCCGACCACCGCCCCCCTTTCGGCCGCCCCCCCTCCCCAGCGCTGCGCTAGGGCGCTGCAAAGCTGCGCCCCGCCCCGTCCCCACCGGTCTCCTTCAATCCTCCTGGGGGTCGTGGTCCCTTTAAGCTGCCCGGCGCGGAGGTGGGGCCGAGCCTCCAGGACCGGAAGCTGGTTGGGAACGTCACTTCCTCCCGGAAGCGGGTCTGAGCGGATGTCTCCGGCGCTTCGTTGCAGGGGTATGAGGGCCGCGGTGGTTGCCAGCGTGGGGCTGAGCGAGGGGCCCGTGGACTCCCGGAGCGGCCGCCTCCTCCGCCCGCCAAGCCCCGCTCCGGCGGCGCCGGGGGCCCGGCTGTTGCGGCTCCCAGGGAGCGGAGCCGGGCAAGCCGCGAGCCCCGAGCGCGCCGGCTGGACCGAGGCGCTGCGGGCCGCCGTGGCCGAGCTGCGCGCGGGCGCCGTGTTGGCCGTCCCCACCGATACGCTGTACGGCCTGGCCTGCTCGGCGAGTTGCTCGACGGCACTGCGCGATGTGTACCGCCTCAAGGGCCGCAGCGAGGCCAAGCCGCTGGCCGTGTGCCTGGGCCGCGTGGCCGACGTCTACAGGTGAGGCCGCCCCGACCCGGCCCTGCTAGGGGCGGCACCGCGGGAGGGGTTTCCGGTGACAGGCTTGGGAGACTGAGGCGCAGAGAGCGGGAGGGGCTTGTCCAGGTTCACCAGGGAATCCGGAACTGGAAATGTGTACCGAGCGCTTAATGTGTGCCGGCCCGAACGACATGCTGGGACGCAGCGATGCATGAGGCAGGCAGGAGCCCTGTTCTCTTGGCACTTTTGTGCGAGCCGGGGCAGAAGAAAAACAGGAAACAAACACAGTACTTGATACAGTAGCGAATGTCTTGAAGAAAACAAAACATTGAGTTCGTTACTGCTAACTCGGTATCACAGCAGTGCGACTGCGTTGTAGTCCCAGACGGACCTTTTCCTGGGTCTGCCTAGAGTCTCAGAAAAGACCACCAGTGGCCCTTTGATTTGAGTGTGTTTACGTTCCTTTGTTTCCCAGGTACTGCCATGTGAGAGTACCTGAGGAGCTCCTGAAAGACCTGTTGCCAGGCCCAGTGACCCTGGTGATGGAACGCTCCGAGGCTCTCAACAAGGATCTGAACCCCTTTACTCCCGTAAGTCAATTTTCTCTTGTTCCTGAGTGTAAAGTCAGCTTTTGGTGTTACTTTGCTGCCAGAGGTCCTACCAACGCCATTTGCTATTGGTGATTGTTCTTCTCTTCCTCTGAGAGAGTAAAAGGCAGAGAAAGCAGTCTGAGTGGTTCCTGTTTAAATGTTGGAAAAAAAAATTTTTTTTTTCTTTTGTTTCCCTAGTTTCCTTCTGGCCACTTGGCTTTCACTAGAATCCAGACCAGACCAGACCCGTTCCTTATTTCCTCTAACCTTTCTGATGATCCCTTTGCCCCATAGCTTGTAGGCATCCGGATTCCTGACCATGCCTTTATGCAAGACTTGGCCCAGATGTTTGGGGGACCTCTTGCTCTCACTAGTGCCAACCTCAGCTCCCAGAGCAGTTCTCTGAATGTCGAGGTGAGTATCAGTCCTTCCTCCAGAAACATCGCCAGCCCAAATACTATTTCCCCTAACCCAGTTGGGTCGCTGATGCACTGGAAGTGCCTGGCAGGACAATCGCCCTTTGGGTCAACAGTGGGAGGCTGCCCAGCAGGCAGGAGGTAGGGAGGGAGGGTCTAAATTAAAGGATCTTAGGCCAGGCCCAGTGGCTCACGTCTATAATCCTAGCACTCTGGGAAGCCAAGGCAGGCGGATTGCTCAAGGTCAGGAGTTCAAAACCAGCCTGAGCAAGAGCATGACCCTGTCTCTACTATAAATAGAAAGAAATTGGCCAACTAATATATAGAGAAAAAATTAGCCGAGCATGGTAGCACATGCCTGTAGTCCCAGCTACTCGGGAGGCTGAGGTAGCAGGATTGCTTGAGCCCAGGAGTTTGAGGTTGCTGTGAGCTAGGCTGATGCCACGGCACTCACCCTAGCCTAGGCAACAAAGTGAGACTCTGTCTCAAAAAAAAATTTATTAAAGAATCTTAGGGCCGGGCGCGGTGGCTCACGCCTGTAATCCTAGCTCTCTGGGAGGCCGAGACGGGCGGATTGCTCAAGGTCAGGAGTTCAAAACCAGCCTGAGCAAGAGCGAGACCCGTCTCTACTATAAATAGAAAGAAATTATTGGCCAACTGATATATATATAAAAAATTAGCCAGGCATGGTGCGCGATGCCTGTGGCCCAGCTACTCGGGAGGCTGAGGCAGAAGGATCGCTCGAGCCTAGGAGTTTGAGGTTGCTGTGAGCTAGGCTGACGCCATGGCACTCACTCTAGCCTGGGCAACAAAGTGAGACTCTGTCTCCAAAAAAAAAAAAAAAAAGAATCTTAGATTTTATGTCATTTAAGAGGCCAACAGAAGAATTGGTGTTTTCTTTCTACTGTCTTTATAGTCACAAGAAAGATTATGGTGAGCAAAATCATTGTTCTTCCTGTTTTTGTGGAGTTAGCAGTTTTTGTAGAATACAGTTAGGTTACAAGTCTTTACAATAGTGCTGTAAAAAAAAATGAAGAAGTTAAGGCTCCAAAAATTAAATTACTGGTTCCAAGTTACAAAGCCATTAAGTAACTGACCCAGATTTTAACCAAGTGTTTGATTCCTGACCCTGTTCTCTTATCTCTGCCACAAGACAGGTCAAAGAAGGATCATTCTAATCTTATCTTGGCTTCGTAATCAAGGATCATTGTAATCCCATCTTGGCTACATAGGTTAGAATGAATGAGGACACAGAAATTTCACTTCTTACTAAATGTAGAGTATATAGTATTATGGTGATGGGGTTTACCATGCCCAGACCTAAAGAGTGGACTCAGGGGCCATGGAAGATGAGAGTTCACCATCCCTTCTCATTCTTGGAGTACAGGTTTTATTTGGTCCTGGTGGTGGTACTCAAGAAGCAAGGGTGGGGATGCAGCAGGGAGAGGCTGAGGTTCTTAACTTGTTAGCAATCATTAATCTGTTCAACATAGTAACTGGTATTTATGATCCCCCGTTCCAAATTTCCATGCCTAACTGCCACTGCAGTGTCTTCATTGGGGGGTAGGGGAAGCTCTAGTTTAGTTGACAGTTCTACCCGTAGTTCTCGTGGTAATATCCTTCCCATAGCCCAAGGCCTGAGGACTGGTGGCATGCACTTGCAGAGTCTACGCTGTTTTCCTCTCCCTACCCTGATCCACAGTTGCAATGAGATCCAGGATCACAGTGCTAGAGCTGGAAGGACACTTGGTGATCATCTAGTCTAGTTGCCTTGTTTTATAGGCCTGGATAAAATAATTTGCATGTAGTCACACAGAGATGTGGGAAGTCCAGGGTTAGAGCCCTTGTCTCTGGACTTCTATCCAGAACTTACTTCCTCTTGGCACAGCAAGATTTTCTTTTCTTTTTTTAAAGACAGAGTCTCTCTCTGATACCTATGCTAGAGTACAGAAGTGCAATCATAGCTCACTGCAGCCTCAAACTCCTGGGCTCGAGGGATCCTTCTGCCTCAGCCTCCCAGAGTGCTGGAATTATAGGTTTTGAGCCACCGTGCCTACCCATCGCAAGATTTTAAGCTCTAGGCAGGTGTTAGTCTTTGGCACAGCTGACCTTAACTAAATGAGGTTCCTCCTTCCTCTGCTTAGAGGAAGGTGCATCCTGTTTTAAAACTATGAGGCCTTTGATGGATTTATGAACCCTGTGTCTGGTATGACATCATTGCAGATGCCAGGGATGGTGTCCATGCTCTTTGTTTCTCTCTTCTTAGGAGTTCCAAGACCTCTGGCCTCATTTGTCCTTGGTCATTGATGGGGGACCAATTGGGGATGGCCAGAGCCCTGAGTGTCGCCTTGGCTCCACTGTGGTTGATTTATCTGTACCTGGAAAGTTTGGCATCATTCGTCCAGGCTGGTAAGTCAGTCTCTTTCCTGTGGTATGGGAATAGGACTTGTGGGAGGTTGGAAAGAATGAAAAAAAAAAAAAAAAAAAAAACTTTGACAAAATGAAGGTTGTCACTCCTGTCTTGCCTTGAGTGGGTACAGGCAGATATGGAAAAGCGTAAGATGCAGTAGGACTACGTTTGCTAGTGTTTGCTGGCATCTTTAGGATTCAAAAGGACTCATCAAGAGTTTGATGAACGGAGCATAATAAGACCAGCGAGTTTAGGTCCCTGTTCACCTGACTCTGGTGGGCTCTGGGTTTTGGGAAGTCAGACTGTTAACTGTCCTCTGTTTCTTCCTCAGTGCCCTGGAAAGTACGACAGCCATCCTCCAACAGAAATATGGGCTGCTTCCCTCACATGGATCCTGCTAGTGAAACTCGGAGGGAAGGCCCGAGGACTGGTGCTGGATACTATGTGTCTGTCCACTGGTGGTTGGCGAGGCCTCGTTTGCAGAGGCCGCTGGAGCTACATCACTAGCCTGACCCGTTAGGCATTGTATCTTTCCAAACACTGTAGACCAAGCCCCAGAAGCTGCTGGGGAAAAGGTTATATTTATTATTTATAGTTTAATATGTCAGTCAAAAGCCAAATGGGGAGGTTAAGAACATTCCTAGGTGGCCTTGTTCTGATAAGTTTCTTCTCTTTTTTTTTTTTCTCCTTTTTTTTTTTTTTTTGAGATAGTCTCACTCTGTTGCCTGGGTTAGAGTGCCGTGGCATCAGCTTAGCTCACATCAACCTCAAACTCCTGGGCTCAGGTGATCCTCCTGACTCAGCCTCCCGAATAACTGGGACTACAGGCACATGCCACCATGCCCAGCTAATTTTTTCTATTTTTTAGTAGAGACGGGGTCTCCCTCTTGCTCAGGCTAATCTCAAACTCCTGAGCTCAATCCATCTATCCACCTGCCTTGGCCTCCCAGAGTGCTAGGATTACAGGCATGAGCCACTTCTCTCCTCTTTTTTAACTGAAAATGGATTTTTTTAAATAACAGACTTGGAATCTTATAAGACCCTCCACTTCGTTCAGTGGTGGCATTTAAGGTTCAAACCAACTAGAGGTGCCACTGCTGTTTAAAAGTCTCAGGTAACCAAAGGCATGGACGGGGCTCCTAAGTTGGAACCAGGTTAGGATTAAAAGTGTGAAGCCACGGGCCAAACACTTTCTGAGCCAGCAGAGCTAGTGGTCCAGTGTGGTATTGCCTGGTGGGGAGAGCCTAAGTTATAGTTAATTATACCCATGTGCTTCTAATACCTTTATTTAAATCCAGTTTAGCAGCTTTTTGTCTTTATTCATATGTGTACTGAGTGTTAAATGTAATTGTTGGGCATTTGAACTTTGTTTTTCTTTAATATAAAAAATCCTGCTATTAAACATGTTTGTAAATGGTTTATTTTTCTTTTGAATTATTTCCTTAGGGTGTGCATATTAGGTCAGTATATGAACGTGTTTATGGCTCTTGATAGAGATTAGCCTTCAGAAGAACTGAATTCCAGTTATGCTGCCATCAGCAATGTGTGAGAATGATTAAATTGTATATTTGTGAAACGAAGCCTCAGTGTTGCTAC